CCAGCCCAAACGCCTTTGCCCGGCCAAAGGCTGCTCCGTCGTCGTCGTCGTCCCCCTCCGAGCCCTCTCCCCTGCCCGGGGTTGGCTTTGGCCCCAAATCGCGGACGGCGTTCGGGTCAGCCCTGCGCTCACCCGACGGGGCTGGCCGGGGGACCGGGGTCCCGGGGCCGCGTGGGTCCCCAGGCAGAGGGATGGTGGCAGGAGACTCGCCAGGACACGGCGGCTCTGTATGAAACGGCTCCTTTGTGCCGGGAGGGTACACAAAGCCGGGCGTAGCACACAGCGGCGATTGTTCCTTCGGAGGTTTGCATGGACGAGGCCGCTGTCCCTCGGCAGCTTCAGACACCCTGGACGTCGGAATAAATGAACGGGCATCACTGAAGTAACACATGAGGCTTTTAAAATATACATCGCTGCAATTTATTTTTTTAAATCATTGCTCATTTTTAGAGGCAGGGAGATAAGGCTCCTCTGAAAAAAAGCTCTTTGCCCATCTAAATTCTCCCCATTACTGAGCAAATGGTTTGCAACAACAAATTTATTCCGCAGCATCTCCTGTGCTCTTTTTTGTTTGAAAAAGCCACAAACAGATTGTGATTTTCTCTAACAGATTCACCATCTGGGAAATTTTTCATGCAACTCCTTTCCTCACTGGGAGCAAGTTACTCAGAGGGGAATTCCCAGCAGAGAGCAGACTCTGAAGGGATGGGTGGTTCATTTAATTAGCATGCATAATCTTGACATCCTTACTCAGGCAAAACTCTCACCAGGGCCAATGGGAGATTTTTTTTATTTTATTTTTTTTTTTTTAAAAGACCAGCTAAGGACTTTGGTATTTGTCTCTTGGTGTTACATACAGTATTTTCCATGCAGGGGAAAGTTGGCTTCTGGATGTATTAGAGACTCTGATTTACTACAGTCTTGTGCATCCAAGGTCAGGATGCGGCCCTTCCAGCCTCTGTCACAAGGCTGAGCGCTGGCAGGAGGAGAGCTAGTGGCAGAGGAACAGCTCCCTTTCGCACACTTACCCCGTTGGGGAAACAGCACACATTTTTGGAGCACGCTCTCTGCAGCCAGTGGAGTGTGGGCTGGAGGTCAGCAGGGGAAGAGGCTCTCCAAAACCCAACAAGCATCAGCTCGGAGAAGTGTTGTGTTTATACAGCCCTTGTGCAAGTTACGTGGTCTTTTTTTCCCCAGTAGATTAATTTATCGCTCCAGAAAGATGCAGGAGATGCAGGGATGCTCCTTTCATCTATGGCACCTTAAAGCTACTCCTCTGGTAAATCAGCACACAGACAAGCCTTGAAGCGCAGCACACACGCAGTCTTGATTTCAAGCCACCCGAGCTGAGAGCTCAGAGCAGACCCCGACAGCCCAGCTCTGCTCTCACCTAAGCACAGTTTTGATAGCTGCACAAGAAGATCTTACACTAAACAATTTTCACTGGCTCATTACCGGACAAAACTTTGCTTTGAACTGACATTTTCTGGGCATGATGACTGCTTTGAAGCAGAAAGACAAAATTAGTGCAGAGAGTTGGCAGGTGAAGAAATGAGAAGGTTTGGGTTTTTTTTTCCCCAGCAGCAGAGCTGTCCAGAAGCTATGGAAACCTTGTTTGGCTAAATAAAAACGCAGAAAGATAACAAGCCTTCATATTTTCCAGCAACGCCTTCACTGGAACAGCATGCTATCTGTGTGTGCTAGAGGCTCCAGAATAGCCAAAGCCGTTCCCGAAAATGAATGTGCCGTGTTATTTTCCACAACTAGTAGTAAACGCTGTCTCCTACCTCCCCAGGAGGGAAAGAAACAAAATCGGTGACTTATGAGAACCTGGGAAGAATGATAATGAGCCTTCAGCCAGGTAAGGCCCTTTAGGATAAGGGGCTGGTCTCTCCTCCAGTCTGCTCCCAGTGCCTTTTTGAGACTTACACCCATAGATTGGGTCAGAACCTGCCCCCAGCTTGCTTTTATGGAAAACAGCAATCCTGATCCTAAAGCTGTACAGACAGAAACAAAAGGCTCAGCTTTTGGAGCACACTCTGGGAGTCAGCTGAGTTTGCTGGCACGGCACGGTGCCTGCCTTTGAGGAACCCCGAGGCCGTTCCCCGGGCTGGGGCACCGGGTCATTCGGCTTCCCAGCATGGGCCAGTTACACTGGCACGCTGAGGTGCCCAGGGTAGAAGCTCACTCCGGGAATTGGGCAAACAAGTTCTTCCCTAGGAGACGGCAAAGGCTCAAGAGATGTATTTAAAAGTAACATTAATAAGAGAAAATGCACATTTATATAGTACATTCCTGAGCCTTTTACTGTCATTGAGACCGATACTCCACAGCACTCGGCCAACTTTGCCATCTGCCATTGTGCTAATAGCACCAGCCACATCTTTGAGCGTTGCTTATGGTTTCCTATGTAATAGTGAAAGTGAAAATATATCCACCTTTGCCCAAATCATTCTCTCTTTTGGAAACCTCCTTCCCCTTTCTTTCAAGTCCTCCACTGTGACTCTTCAGCTGTTAAGTTGGGATATCAGACAGGAACATCTCACACACACATGGGGATGCAGGCTGCTCTATCCACACAGATATTCCTCCAGTTCACCTCCAGCTTTGTCCGCAACGGTCCTCTCCATGCTGGTTCTCCTAAGCCTGCACCTCCACTGGCTCCAGCCTCGCTAGCCACTGGAGAACAAGTCCTGTCCAGCATCTGTTTTGGGGTTTTATGCTGCTGCACATCACTGTAGTACTTTCCACATAACAATAGGAAGTCCATCATAGTAGGAATATTCCTCTTCATTCCCATGGGAAGCATCACAACTGTGTCCTGAAACAATACAGCTCTGCACTGCAAGCTCAGCTCCGTGCAAGGAAAGGAGGAAAGACAGCACCTTCTCGTCATTAATTGACGCGCACCTCGACGCAAAGTGACAGTTCCTTCCCATCACTCAAACGCCCGTGGTGGGCAGTTCAGCCTGCTTACTGGAGCCAAAGCCTAGGAGCTAGAAGGCTGTGCCGTACTCCCAGCTCTCCTCCTGAGTCATTGTTGAATGACCTTCAAGGCGGTAAAAAAAGGCGTTTTACTCAACCCTCAGTGATGCTTCTGAGGTGTAACCACAGAGGGCCTGATTCTCCTCTACCACGCGCTTGCCCTGACTATTTGCACCAGTGCAAACAGAGGAAGAGGATCAAGGAGATCCCCGCATCAGAACGATACTAGCATCATAAGACAAAATTCTTCCTTTTTCTTCCCAAGCAATCAATCCATCAACATGTTAAAAAAATAAGTTTAATGTAGGTGGCATGTTTCATACAGAATTTAACAGGCACCCAAAACACCAGCTGGTGTCATGTTCTGAAGAGTTAACAAGGTGAAACTCCAGCACGTCAGTCTCATTCATACATTCACAGGGTAAACAACAGGCCAAGGCAGCTTTGCCACTGCACGTACCGTCATTGTTGGTCTTAAGTCTGCACAATGCAGCCGGAGCCTCTTTGTTGCCCAAATACCTGGAAAGCTCTGGAGTGAGCAGGACTCACGGGGGAAGTTCTCTGAAGAGGTTGGCATGGGTCTGGGATGGACACACTCTCCCAAATCAGTATTTCTAGTATTTTTCCTGATTACTCCTGAGGGTATTTTTAACCTAGTAAGTATAATAGCAATATTTAAAGGCCAAACATGGAAAGAAAAAAAAAAAAAAAAAGACAGGGAACAAACCAGCTGCTCTCACTGTTCAGGATGGAATCGGCATGAAGGAATGCAGAGATGAAAATTTTGTTATAGCCATCTATATCATAAGAAGGGAAAACTTAACTCATTTTGGAGCCTGATCCATCCCTCCCATCACCAGTGAATTTGGATAGAGTAAAAAATCCAAAAGAATATGAATTTCCCCAGTGGGGCACAGTTTGCAAGTACCTGCTCAACATGAAATATTTCTGGCAAATATCATTATAAGCCACTTATTTGACTCTTGAAAAGCAGGAAGTTCAGCTTCCTTTGTTTTCTTTCTTGTCTTCCATGAAGTTCTGTTCCCTCCCCCTTTATTAAAAATGCCAGTTTTTTCTATTAAACTAAATAGGGACACCCCCCCCCCCACCTTATTCTTTGCATATACTTAATACAACATTTATTCTGCCTCTTTCTCCCTCCCTCAGTTTTGGCTTGGCTCCCCTCGAGCTTGTAAGAAACTTTTAGAATCTCAGCTCCTTGAGAAAAAATATTTTGGCAAAGTAATCCTAAAAGCTTTAAAAAAAAAATCTCAAAATTAAAACCACTGAATTTAAATTCTGAACCATTACCAAGATCTTACTTATTCTGCAATCTCCTGGGGATGTTGTGAGGTTTAATTAGCTCTAGCTGGAAAATGCTTTGAAGAGGAAAGTGCCATAAAGGTGCCAAATAGTGCTCCACTCATGTAGATCTAAAATGTTCAAATTATTACACCATAAAACAAATAGTTTGAAAATTAATTCTTCTTCCTTGCCAGCATGACTTCAAAGGGACCTCAATTCCCCCACTACGCTGGTAGGATTGCGCCACCTGAGCACTGCAAGCCATCCAAGTGCTGGTAATGACCAAGAATGAGAGTATTTTGAACTTCATAGCACCTTTGAGGTCTCCTTCTCCATTATTTAATCTTGGGGTTGTCTATCTTTGTGTGCAATTGCAGACTTGAGATTCAGGGCATGCTGACAGTAGGTACTTGGCTACCTTTGTAAAAGAAGACTGGGGAATCACTGCCCACTGTCTTCTAAGCAACTTAGCCCCAAAGTCTCTCTCGAGGAACATTTGGGTATTTGGCAAACATTACTTTTTGGGGATTTGATAAGGGCATGTACTTTTTCCTCAGTATGCACCACTGAATCTGGCTGCGGAGGGCTGATGGGAAGTCTGTGCAGTAAAGCAATGAACCGCTACACAGAAGCCCTTTTTTGTTCAGTTGCTACTGCAGGAGTGTCGTGGAGCAGATCTGGACTGCTTAAAGAACCACCGCCAAAGGTAGCAGCAAAAGTGGTTTTATTGAAGTATGATCTTGTAGAAGTGAGGCTTAACAAAGTTTGATGGCAAGGTTCAATCTATTACTTACTGCACAGAGGACAGAATAATGATTCAAAGTTACCAATGCAAAATTTTAATGCCCTGTGATACAAGGTTATGTGCAGTATTGGTCACTTACCAAAGATCTGCAGTTGGTAACGGGTCTCTCAGCCTCGAGGAGTAACCTTGAGAGGCATCCCAACTCAAGGGGAGATCACTGCTATGCAGCCAGCTGCTTAGCAAGAAGAGCTCAAAAAAAAGCTCACCCAAGCTGTCATATTTATGAAATAAAGTGGTTGGCTCATAGTCAAATTACATGCGATGGAAAAGGTAAGTGTGAGACTCCCTGTACCCACAAGCTCCTTTGTTCCTTGACCAAATTAGTCTTGGAAGAACCACCTGCTATTCATGTGTTAATCGCATGATCGGTGTTCCGGTTTCCAAGCTCATATACATCAAAGCTCGCCGTGTCACCCTGCTCCTGCGTGGGTTTTCAAAGAACAGGTTGGAACTAGAGAAGTTCATGACCCAGTCACAGCCTAGACCTTTACTTCCTTCAGAGCCTGAACCAAACTACCACTGGTTTGGTCAAGCAGTTGAGTGTATTTGTCACAAAGAGCACCCACCAGCTGAAGCAGGCACGGGTGGGCAGCACAGCAGCACCCACGTGTACCACAAATCACCCTTTTACTCATCTTTATAAGGAGTACTGCAATACGGCCATTCCAAGGTGAAACAAGGTCCTACCATCAACCAGTCTCCATGCTGTGCCTCCTGCAAAAGGTGACGGAGAGCTGCTCTCGGCTGTGCCTCGCCGGGGTCCCGGCTAGTCTCTCAGCTCACACCACGGCTGTCTGCTGGCCATCTGTAATGTTTCCTGCAGAAATTCTTGAGCACAGCCATCCCAGGAGTCCCACAGTCTGCACGCCAGAGCTGCAATGCCCCAGGCTGACAGCTGTACTGGGGAGAAAAGCACTGGGCTGGGAATTACTGGGAATTCCCTCTGCCTGCAGCGCAAGCTGTAGCTCGGACCTGCAGGACACTGAGGACCTGCAGTCCAGAGAGTGATCCCAGAACAAGGCTCTGGGGAGCTCTACAGTTAGGAGGAAACTTCCAGATACCAGTTTGTGACATATGCTGATACTACTTCTTTCCTGCAGAAACAGCCTTTGGCTCTCACGGGGCTAATCTAAAGTTCACACCACCACGGCCCATTATTTATTCAGCTCTGCGTGTTCAGTCTGCATTATCTGTAACACTTGATAATGAGATAATTTCTGGGTTTGCTTTAGCTTTGAGCTTCAGACAGAAGCTTCTCTTATTTTGCATCCATAAGCCTACAAATCAAAGTATGTCAGCAAAAGACTGCAATACACACAAGCTGAAATATGAAGCATCCTTCCCTGTGTGCAAACTGGCTTTGTTCTCGACCACATTCATATCTCAGACTGAAGAGATCATAAAAAAACAGTCACGTATCTCCAGTCTTGCTTATTCCGTTACAATTGACTCCATTGATTTCATGGGGAGGAGGGGGAAGGGTCTCCATCATTTTTACCAACTTCTTTTTAAACAGTTCTTTAAAGAACACAAGGAAAAGAGCAATATTCCATTATAAGGAAAAACAAACAAACAAAAATAGAATAAAAATAAACCTTAGGCCAGCTTCTGGACTCCATAAATAAAAAGTTACTTGACTGACTGCGGAAGAACAGTCTGACATCTGAGATCAAGACCAGTATAACCGAGCTTAATGCTTAACTTCTTGAGCTGTCGGTAAAGCTCTCCAGTGACCCCACTCTCACTGCTGCAAAGGTAGGAGAGAATGTTTTCTGTAATCACAGAGAACAATTATTGCCATTTTGGATTGCACTCTGTTTTCAATCTCTCCTAGGTCAGACAGTCTCATCTCACCATACTCTGTAAGACAGAGTACCTCTGTGAGAAAACTGGGACTAAGCAATTCAGGGAAAAGTAGAACCAAACGTCAACATCTAAACACTACGGATCATTGCAATGGGTTCCCCTTAATCGCTGCAAAACGATAACATATTTGCCGTGACTGGGAATTTCAAGAGCACATGATACCAAACTCTGCTCCCATCACTCCAGTGGATTTGTTCCATTAGGGTAAGACTCAATTACTCAGCATTAACTGCCTGAAAAGCACAAAGCCATTCAAAGCTCTACAATTATGTTAAAGTGAACAGAACAGTACAGTGGGTCAAAAGCACGTCTTGCAAAAATCTAAAAACAAAACAGGAAAAAAACCAAAAACACCCCAAACCCCCTACACTCTGTAGAATTTGGCCCCATATCCTTAGCAGGGAATATGCAAAATGCAAACTACACAGAGAAAGGATAACACTGGTCAAGTAGGATACGTATTACATGCCTGAGACATTAAGGAACATTTTTAGAAAAAGGGTGAAGATGGATTAAGAGCGTAGGGTGCAAAGTTATCTGGCTTCTGTCCTCCAGATAAATCACTGCCTTTTTCATGACCACAGGCATACAGGAACAGCAGCAAGGTAGGCTCCTATAGACTAGAATAAATTTATATTAACTTGTACTGTGCAAAGAAAAAACACCCAATCAAGCATTGCACTTTGATAATCAAAATGGCACCTCAACCCTCAAAAAAATACAAATTCCACAGACAAGTACGTTAATTTATCAATAAAAAGTAGCACTGATAAATAAATTAATTTATATAAAAAAAAGAAAAGAAGATATCGACACATTTTGGGGTAGAAGAAAAGTCACCTTCTCAGCCCACATGCGCTTGTTTTATTTACATATCCACAAATACCATGAAACACCATCCCAGCCCCCCCACTAGCAGCATGGTCACATGAATTCCATAGATGAGCAGTTCATTCATGAGGCTGAAGTCTACCCGCCTTCGCCCCAGTAAGAGGAGGATGATGGAGAGTTTGTACTGGAAACGCAGAAAGATCCGGATGCCAAGGTACTGAAGGCAAAACAAGATAGAGAGTGCCACCCAGAGGATGGAGGTAAACAAGCTGCAGCTGAAGTACAGCAGGAAACGGATGAATCCATACATCCATCGGGATTTGAGATAGATGTCGAAATTGTTGTACTTGGTACGCACCAAGTGAGTGGTCCTTACCGGGCCACAGGCCGAATGCAGGCAGGTCGTGTGGGGGCCGTGGAATGAACGGACCCGGCGGGGAATGGGGATTACAGGCATCAGGCACCCCACCGGTCACAGAGTCCCAGGGCAGGATTTACAGGGCACATATCAAATGTTATCCATTAACATGGATGAGATCCAACAGCCTGGGAACGCTAACTCTTTGCTGAATTTCCAGGAAGGAAGAGACCTGCAGGAAGGCAGAGAAGGAAAACACATTTAAGTAGCCCCAGCAGGAAGAGGGGCAGCACGGCAGATATTCTCTGGCTTGGTGGTTACTCACAACTGCTTTGCAAATCTCAACTTCTTTGCTTACTGTTTACCAGGCAGACGTATAGAAATACAGTTCTGTTTCCATCATCACCAAGTCGGATTCCAAACAGCTCCCTAGTAGCACGCCATGTCAGCACTAGTCGTAACCTGTTATAAGCTTTACAGTGTTAATGCAGGAAAGCTAGGAACTTTGTTCTGGAATTATCCTGGCTAATTCACAGATCCTTCTTAATCAAACAGCCATCCTGCAACAGTCCACCCATGCAAGTAGTAATATTAGTGTTGTGTGTTTGCATTGGATCATACTTCTTTTTAAGGAAAAAAACCCAAAAGTTCTCCAAGTACTTTCTTGTGAATTCTACAGCCCAGACTCAGTGGTGATTCTAGATTTCTGCTCATTTCAAAACTTGGCAAAGCTTCACCAAATAAACAAACTGAAAATAATGGAAGGTCTTGCAAGAACAATGAGGCAATCATGTTTTTCACACTCTACAGGATGTACCTCCTCTTGCTCAGCCGAGCCTTGCGGTCTCACTGTCATTGCATCCAATGGCAAGGCAGCCTTTCAAAGACATCTACTAGTTTATTTCTCCCTTCGGGACCCGCAGAGATAAGTGAAACATCTTGATCTTCTGGAGTGTTTAGGATTTATAATCTTAACATCCTTCCACACACCCATTGTTGTTGTGTGAGTGATGAGCAGTAGCCTGTTAGCTGCTCTCTGCTTCACCCCAGGCTTATGATGTGCCAAATTCCGGGAATTATGAAATGACAATGCACTCATCAGATAATGCTAGAGAACAACAGGGACTTCCCCAGCCTCCTCACACACCCAAGCGTTCAGACCCAGGCATTCAAATCTGGGCAGATCTTTCCTTTGTTGAACCAGAAATCGTACTACTCTTAAAATTAAAACTGAAGTAATTTAAAAGTTACTTCAAGAATATTTTACTTTGTTACTAACAAAACTAATCACGGAGTAAATTATCAGGCTGCAGGAAACTGTACTTGGTTATCAAAAAACTTCTCTGATGCAATGTGCATCACTGGATAAGTCTCTTCACTGCTTCCTGCCTCAAATTACATGTAAATGGAAATTGCAGTTCTGATCTCTTCTGCTTGGCCCCAGGTTCCAATTCCTTCTTGCCGTTACAGAAATTTGCAGGCAATCTGTTGGCTCCACATGAATCAAGGACTAATAAAAAGGAGCATGGGTTAACTTACGATTAAGGAATTTAGGAAATTGAGGTCTATTCTCAATTATCAAGGACAGCCTCATAATTTTAAGTGCCTCTTTGCCATAATTTCCTGTCTGTAGAAAGGAAATGCTAAGCAGCTCGGAAGTGTGTTACAAGAATGTATTTTGCAAGACATATGAACTGGTCAGATACTAAACCAACACTACTTAAGAAACAACACAGTTTTGTGCCTGGAGCACGCAACTGAACATGCTTCCCACATGCTGCATATCTACTGCTCAGTGTTTGTTTTCAGAGATATTTTTGGAGGACTAAATTAGCAAGACAGGTTAAAATTCACATACTCTGGATTCAGAGCATTCAATTTCCGACAATGCAGCCTCTCCTTACAACCTCTTTCACTGGGACACAAAAGACAGCTTATCATTCTCCAGCAAACTCTTACATAGCTACTTAATCTGAGTCCCTGAGCAGCCACGGGGAAATCGGCACGCGCGCGCTATTAGAGCACTCAGCAAGACCATGCCTGAATGACAGAGCACAAACCCCGCCTGCGTAAGCTGTAGTTTGTGGGGGCAAACTCAACACACCGGCTTAATGTCTGAGCCCTGTTTTAGAAGGGGAGTTTTGATTCTGGCAAAACCTTCAACAGATTAATCCAAGAGAACCACTCAAATGGCTCAGCTGCAGAGACTTACTCTCAGTGAACAGCAGCAGCTTGTTCTCATTTATTAAGTGTGCCCACCACATAAACAACTAGCCTTTGGTAGGTTCATGCTCTTTATATAAACTCAAATATCAACACTGGAACAGCCATGAGCAGAGGGACATTGTGAGAATAAAATAAACTTTCTGAAACATTACATTTTTAACGGTGCTGCCATCCACTCAGCAGAAGGTCAATAATCCGCTGCCGTTTCTGGGTGCCACTTAATTCTTGTAACAAAAAAGTGAAGTTTTCCTGTGGCACCTGGCCTTCTAGGAAGAGTGAAAGAAACTGCTAAGGTGCTTCATAGACTCACAACACTCTACATATGAGTTGATCTAAAAGATAAAATGAGAGAGTAAGTTTCAGTTTGCTTATTTTGTGTGTTAAAAAGCTCAGAATTACACGGCCCCTCCCCAAGCATGAGTTTTTAATCCTGTAAAGATTCTAAAAAGAATCACACACTCAATATATGTATTACCGCTTACTGATACATGCTGGAAGGAATCAGCTAGCTTGTATTCAATGCCATACACAAGGACAGGAAAGAGAAAATCACAGACAAAGAACTTCTCCTGTCACAGAGCCATCACCGTTCATCCAGGGCATACAAAACACAATGCAGAGAGCATGCACGGCCAATGTTTTCCGAACAGAATATGGAAGAGCAGGCTCCCAAACCTCTACGTTGGCACATGATGCCTAGAGACAGATTTGGACACCCGTTCCTCAAGATCATTTGTTTGGGCCTTTCTATTTTAAAGCACATTGCTGCAAGGCTGGAAAGCCGAGTCGGTCTCTTCTGAGTATCAACCTACAGCTCAAAGGATTTCAACCCTCAGGCCTTGGCAACTCGGTGTCAGCCATGCTGCTGTTACCCCAAGCATCACATTAATGATAGCCTCATCAGGAAGTTAAAAATCTGAATAACCATTCACTTCGGTGAGCTTTCACTCCCTCTTCTTTAAAAATGGGGCGTCTGATGAGAAAGCTACCCAAATACAGTGCTACTTCTCTTCATCTATCACACATTCCAGGCAAGGTCTGCTGTTGCTCAGGGTACTCATAATTCGTGGAGGAGGAGGGATGACAGAAAAGACCGCAACGTTCACAGATGACAGGACCATCAGTCAGGACCAGCGGGACCAAAGCGTTCCAGAAGGAGCCAAACAAGGTTAGGGACAATGACAAATAAAGGTTAGTGCTGATAAATGAAAGCAGGGAGTACCGGAAGGAGGGGAAATTCGAACTCCTCCTACATCCTACCAGATCCTAAATTAAACCGCATCGGCTTGGGAAAGGAACTGAAGGCAGGAAGCTCAGCCCGGACCTCCCCGTGCCCTGCGAGCTCGACAGGCCAACCCAGACAACGCGGAGCCCCCGCCGACCGACCGGGCGGGCGGGCAGGGACAGCCCCGCACGGCCACCGGGGCACGGCCGCGACTCACCTCAGGGAACGCAGAGCCCCGCCGGGGTTGCGGGGAACGGGGCGGCCGGGACCCACGGGCCGGGCCCGCCCCCGCGGGCGGACCAGCCACGCCAGCCCCAGACCGGCAGGCGCGGCCCCGCGGCCGGTGACCGACCGCTCCCACTCCCACC